CGAGATGCCGGCGGTCACCCCACGGCCCCGCGCCGTGCCGCTCGGAGATGTGCTCTGCAGGAAAAACAGCTGTTCTCAGATTAAAATATAATAAAACATGTGATATCCTCCTCTGAAACGAGCCTCGGTGTGGTTATTATTTTGCCAGCGCATCGGTGCGTGGTCCCCACGGCTCACCCCGTTTTCCCATGAAACCACCCAAAAATAGAGCCTGGCTGCTCCGACGCCTTTGCTCCAGTCCTCAGAGCTGGAAGAAACCACCATGTGCCGGAGCCCTTTCACCTCCCGGCCCTCGCTGGCCGCGTCCCGGCTCCGGCAGCCGCTGGGTCTTGCTGAGCCGTTGCCGGGCCCCGCTTGGAGCCGCCGATGTTTTGCCGGAGCTTCATCCCCCTCCCATGAATCGCTTTATGATTTACAGTTTTTTTTTTTTGTTGTTCAATGTGAAAAGGAGAAATGACAATCTGTTGCATAAAAACCCGGTGGCATCCGTTCCTTGAACGCCGAGTGATTTAAACCAGGCTGATATCGCCAAAAAAGGCTATTAAAAAAAAAAAAAAAAAATTTGAATAGAAGAAGAGGGTTTTTTTGTTGTTGTTGTTGGCAAAGAATTGCCTTTTAGGGGAAATGGATATTTAACAAATGACATTAATTTTCAAGCTTCTCCTAAATTAAATTCACATTAGTGTTAACAAGACTAAATCCTGACTCACTTTTTTTTTTTTTGTTGTTGTTGTTGTCGTTTAATGTGAAGCGCTAATAAACGGGACCACTTTGGGGGCTGGCGACGTGTTCCCATTAAAACGCCAGAAAGGCGCTTCATTGTCTTTCCATATACAGTATGTAAAAAGGGGGGAATACATGGAAAAATGACCTCACTACCTACACGGGAGGGCTGGCGGGCGCCCGGCGGGTGCCAGAACCCCGCGCCGCAGCAAACAAACACAACACCAAATGAGAAGCATCCTGTGCCGCCGCCGATGACTATGAAAGGAAGCAGCCGTCTATAGTCTCCGTCCCGCTCCGCTCCCCGAAGCGGCCTGGGAGGAAGGAGATTAGGGGGAGCAGAAAAGAAAGCCTTGACTTATTTTCCAGCTTCCAGGTACCTTCCAGGCGAGGATGCGATCACTTCCTGCGGTTCAAAGGAGCGATGCGCACGCCGGCCCTCGCCCAGCTGCCCCGCGGTGCCGGGGGAAGCCGGCAGCCCATCACATCACGGAGGAAACGTTAAGTCATTTTTCTCCAGTAGAAATTCCCTTCTTTCCCCACAGCTCGGGCCGTGCCAGTTCATCTCTGGTCTCAGAGGATGGCTAGAAACCCTTGGGGTGTATTTTTGGCTGCGGTTTCTCGCTCTGGAGCACTTTGGGGCCAGCGTGTCCCAGTTTTGGGTGCTCGCCGGCACCCAGAGCGTGACTGGGCATGGACAGGCGCTTTCCCAAAGCACTTGTGCTGCAAAACCATTGAAAATGTCTCTTTGCCGTGGGGCTGGGTGGGGACCAGAACTCTCCTTGCTTTGTGCCCTCCATGCGGCCACAGGGCTGGGGTCGGCACCAGGCTGGAAACTGCTGGGTGATGGCTGGTCACTCCCATCCGTGAACTCACCAGGGCTGCAGCACGTTGGAACCACGGCTGCTGCGTCACTGCGAAAGCACCGAGAGGTGCTGGGGGGGCGTTTGCAGGGACCCGTCGTGCCCACCCGTGCCCAGGTCACCAAGTCCCAGCACCAAATTTTGGCTCCTCGGTTCTGCATCGCTCTAACACCGCATGGTGCTTGCCAGCAAAGCCGTGGCGTGTTTCTACACAAAAGCAGGCAGGGCCCTGCCAACCCTCCTGCCTAACTCAGCCCTGGGTGTTTTTATTAATAATAAAGCCTAATTGCAATCGAGGCTGTGAACAATGCGTGGCTGCCCCGTCTCACTGCCCAGCCCTACCCCAGGTCACGGGGAAACGAGAAAGAAGGGAAAGGACAGAGGAAGAAACAGGAGCGCAGGTTTGGGTCAGATAAGAGCAGGCAGGAGGACCCGTGCCAGACCCCGGGGGATGCCACCTCCTCCCATGGCTTCGGTGTTTTCGCCCAGCCTTTTTCACCTAAACTCATCATTTTCCTCATCAAACGCATCAAAAAAAGTTGTCCCAAACTGGGAGCGTTCGTCCAGCCTCGCCTCCGCGCGGGCAGCATGTGGCTGGTACGGAGCCGGCAGCGGTTTGGGCAGGCGCCTGCCCGCAGCATCGGGGCTGTGGCAGCACGCTTTAACCGCGGCCAGGACAGGATTCGGCCCTCTCCAAACCCCGCGTTTGGCTGGGCTGGCGGCACCGGGGCTCATCCAGCTCCGTCAGGAGCTGGGCAGATCCCAGGAGGGGTGCTGGCTCCTTGACGAGCTTTCACCATGTCGCTAATTAGAGACTTGATGCTGAATCCACTATCTCCCCGTTTCATTTGACTTTGACTATTTGGCCGGGGGGGGGTTGCTCAGCTCGAGCTTAATACAAACCACGGGGCAGAAAATCCAGCTGGGGCAGCGATGGGCTGCTCCAGCCATGCTGGCGGGAGCTCTGCAGTCCCTCAGCCCGGCCGGGATTCATCCTGCTCCGCTTGGGCCCCGGGACCAGCCGTGAGCACCGGGAGAGCCTTTTTATTTTTAACATCACCTCCTTTCCCCTGCCCCCGTCCCTGTACGGCCGCGCTGGGGCCAGGAAACCATCCACCAGCGGATTATTCTGCTGCGTGCCGGTGGCTCAGGTGTGACGTGGGACTGGAAATGGACGGGGCTGAAATAGTTTGGGGATGATTTCACTGCCATTATGGCTCAGGCCGGGGCTGTTACTACGCAGCCCCTTCCGATTTTTATGACTTAATCTCTCCAAAGCTCGGGGCCTGATGGTTTTCAACTGGGGAGAAGGAGGAGCGAGGGGCTCTTAGCAGGTCGTTACGGCAGAAATATGGAGAAAATATTTGACAGGTATATGTAGAACCTGAGAAGCCCATCCTGCCGGCTTTCCCAGGATGGCTGCCGGGGCGGGAGGGGGGAAAGTACTGCCAGGGCA